AATAATTTACTTTTCTGATATTATTAACCACTCCATCAACTCTGGTCACCAATATTGGTGGTTAAAGGGGAAGCGAAATAGCAGAAATCAGAGAAGATTTTAAGGAAAATATTGACATATTTGAAGTTTGTCTTCCATGCATACAAACCACAGGAATTTGGCCCTTCTTCCCATTTCAGGTGGCCTCAGAACATCAAAGGTTCTATATTTCCAAAAATAGTTACCCAGACCATCTCTGCCTTGCAGCACTGGACCTGCCTTTCATCCTATCTTCATTAATCTATCTTATCCAGTCATGTATATAATTAACTAATATTTTCTGTGTGATTTCACCAAACAGATAACTTTTGAGACTTTTTTCTTGGAAGGTCTTCTTGAAATGATATAAGACTATTATATCTAAACAAGTTAATAGTTTATAATGGAATTGATGTTCTTTGCCTCTCAGAGTTGATTGAATCTTAAATTTAGGCAAACGCTAATTTAAGTAAAATGAATTCACGGGAGCATAAACTTCAGCCAAAAATCATAGGATGGATGGTGATAATTATTTGTGATTATTTTTTACATGACCCAGAAAATGCAATTTCCTGCTTCACTTCTCTTTAAGGTGATATCTGACATAAACATACGAGAGAGCAAGAAGCCACCTATTTGAGAAGTTTCAAACACAGCTATACAGGCAAAGTGGTAAATAATACATTTTGTGGAAAATGATCCCCCTGGGTTCTACTTTCTTACTTTCCACCCTCCTTTATGTGAGCACTCAAACTTCTCTCTCTTCACCTTTTTCTGAATTTCAAAATAGACATTCAACTTCAATGTGAATTGAAGCCACTGTTCCCTCTCACAAGGTAAGTGAAGAGACTTTGAAATTAGTGCTTAGCTTTCGCTACATGGTTGAAATGAAGCCCTGTCCTCAGTTGGTCACAGTCAGAGGATCTATATTAGGTTCCAGGGGGAGCAAATCATGGAATCTCACAAGTTGGGCTTCCACCTGCCTTCCTGATGGGTT